CAGATATTCAAATAGTTGTATCTCGGCCAAATATTGTCCGATCCTAACAAACCATACATCAAAGCAAAGCTTATTTATTCTCAATTTCAGAAAATTCACCCTTATGACTGGTTTTATGGTCAAGGGTCATATATATATATATATATATATATATATATATATACATACAAATTTCTGTTGGTGGCATTTTGAACACTGACTATTATTATCATCTAGCAAACTACACTTACAGCAGTTATATTAAAATAACTCTGCATATTTTTTACAGTATATAACACTGAACCCTAGAGCAGCTGTTATACCACTGGATATAACAATGTTTAATCAGAATTTTTTTATTTTTTTATTTTGATTCTATAAATCACAGCGCTGCATGTCCAGTGACCACAACAGGACTGAGAAAATATTGGCCAGACCCACAAATCTCTACATATCAACACCAGCATTTAGCATAACACATCCTGTCCCCGTATTCTCTCATGGGAGTGCAGAAAAAAGATCTTCACTTCCTGTTCCAGCACCATGACCTCATAATGCTCATTACGCCAACTCTTACAGGCTGGAAAACATGAGTGCGGCCTGTGGGAATAACAGCACTCATGAGCGGGTGTGTTGAAGAGATCTCTGTGTGTGTAATAGTTCCCTAAAGTTTTGGCATGTGAACACATAATGTTTAGCAGGATATGCTACCAGTTTGTTCTCACATCACTCTACATCCTATTTAAATGACCATTTTAGATACTTTGGATATGTAATTTATCTAATATTATTTAGCAAATCGTGTTGAAGTATGCATTGTTTATCAAAATACTAAAAAAACAGCAACAAAAAAACAACAACAATAATAATAATAATAAAAAAAGAATAAATAAAAATTATTTCTGATATATATATATATATATATATATATATATATATTACGGTGACGCATTGATGCCACACACATATTATTTTTTCCACTCAATTGTGTCGTAATAACGAGATGTTATGTCGTTAAAACGACATCTTTTCTCGTAATAACGAGATGTTTTCTCATAAAAACGACATATTTTCTCGTTAAAACGAGATGTTTTCTCGTAAAAACGACATCTTTTCTCGTTAAAACGAGGTGTTTTCTCGTTAAAACGAGATCTTTTCTCGTAAAAACGACATCTTTTCTCGTTAAAACGACATCTTTTCTCGTAAAAACGACATGTTTTCTCGTAATAACGAGATGTTTTCTCGTAATAACGACATAATTTTCTAGTTAAAACGACGTGCGTGGCGTGACAGGCGTTTTGTTTCTTCAGCCATGGCCTACGGAATACTGGTACGGTAAAAGATTTCAGCTTTTTGGGCTAGAGTCATGGCACATTTAAATGAACTGATTTATTTTTACTTTCTCCTCGGTTTAAGTCACAAAGACATTTTATTAACATTGAGCCACGTCGATAGGATTATTATTAGTATGCGAACACTACGTCGGCATCTTAAACATCTGAGACTGTACAGACGAAAGAATCAAACAGATCTATTGGAAGTAGCATTATTCCTCATGAATGAACTTGACCGTTATGGAAAGCTACATGGATATAAACTACTACATCTAAAGTGTATTCAAGCTGGATTTGTTGTCAGTCAACGTGTAATTCGCCATTTATTAGGCATCCTGGATCCCGATGGAGTACAAATGAGAAGGAGAAATCGCTTAAGAAGTAGGATGTATGTAAATCCTGGCCCCAATTTTATATGGCACATGGACTCTTATGACAAACTGAAACCTTTTGGTATCTGCATCAACGGCACGATCGATGGATTTTCTAGGATGGTAATTTGGCTCCATGCTTATTCTACTAATTCTGACCCGAAGGTAATCGCCAGCTATTTTATTAATGAAGTTGGACAAAGGATGGGGACACCAGCCAGAATGAGGTCAGACCTGGGAACAGAGAACTGTTATGTGGAACAAATGCAGAAGTTCCTACGCTATGATGACCACGACGAATATGCAGAAAACTGCTTCATCTATGGTTCAAGCAACCACAATCAGCGCATTGAGAGCTGGTGGGCATTCATGAGAAAACAGCATGCTCAGTACTGGATTAATCGTTTCCAGGATTTGAAGGAGAAAGATTACTTCATAGGTGGTTTCCTGGACAAGCAGTTAATATTGTTCACCTGTCTGAATATCATTGAAGTAAGTTGATGTATTAGCCTAAAATTAGGCCCAAAAGTGTTGACCTCCAAAATCAGTATGGAGGCCCAAACCTGCAGAAATGTATATGTAGCCTATGTATACAGAAATAATACAGAAAATAATAAATGAAGGGAAGAATTCAAAATAAATTCAGGATTAAATGTAATTAAAATGAATTATATAATGCATTTTAACTGCATTTAATCCTGAATTTATATTACTTCGTCCCTTCATTTATTATTTTCTGTAATATTTAAAAATTAGTTTATTATTTTTTAACGTTTATTTATATTTATGTATTCAGATGTGTTAATTTCCATATTTATTTATCCATTTATTTAGTTGTACTTTCTGGTCTTTAATACATTATTGGTTGAGCTCATTGTATATTGTAGGCTATATGCGGCTATGTAGTGGAGATGATCTCACTGTCTAACATATGCCTAATTCATCGTTAATTTTGTAATTTTGTCAACTATTTTTTCTTAATTACACATCTTGTTTTGATGTTTCTTTTATTCCATAATAACATTGCAAGTTAAATGGTTTTAGACTATTTGTTTTTCTAGGGTCGAAGAAAGAAAATAGTCCTAAATTAACAATGTCATATCTCTCATTTTACAGATATTATCCAAAATTATTTTTTATTTCGATCTGCAGTCCAATAAAAGTTAAGAAAAAATAGAATTAGCCTACATACAGGCCTATCTATAGAATAGACCAATACTATTTTTTCTTACATTTAAAAACATTTAACTTTTTCTTAAAATTCGTCTTGAATAATAGGTCTAAATAAACTTCATAAAGAATATTCTTCATAACGGATTTTATTTCATAACAAATATAGGAAGGTAACGATTAACTATCCTTAAAAACTATCCTGCATTAAACAATCACAAATATGACACCTGTAAATAAAATCATTTTATATATACAGTTTAATTATATATAATTTTTTTGTGTCAAATCAATGAGGAAATTCACTGCAGCTCTTCTGTCAGCTGCCGGAATGTGATGTGTTGACAGCGCCAGCATTGGGAGCATGAACGTTTTCTAATAAAATGAATATTTAAATATACAAATATCATTTTAAATGACATTTGTTTCGGAGCAGTAGGCTAATGTTTTATTTCGTTCTAACCGGTAACTCTGGAACTGTAATGAATGAATGAATGAATGAATGAATGAATAAATAAAAGCTTATACTGTTTTTACTCAGAACCAACTAATTTTCAATCAATGATTTAGGGATTAATACATAAGGACTATTTTATTGCTTGGCTATAAGTTTAAAAACAGCCAATTCATCTATGATACTGTACTTCAATTTGTACGTCATGATCCTTGGGTCTTTAAACTGGCCAATCATCTCATCCAAAAGAGTGATCCTATGCAGTTTTATGGTTACATGCAGGAGCTCATATTCAGAACCTAAAGAGTTGACTGCATGAGCTGCATCCTCCACTTGATCTGCAACAGGACTGAAAGCCTCTTCTGTCAAACTCAAATCAATCACACTGACTACATCGCTTGTAGACGGATAAATGATGTTAGTGATTGCAAAATCAGAGTCGTGTGTGACAGGCAAGTGGATCGGTTCATAAATCAAAGTGTCATCCAGATGGCATACCATAGATTCACCTGTGTATGGGCCTATTATAACTTCAGGTGACTGAGATAAGGAGTCAGTTGAATCAACAGATGAATCAACAAAATGATAGGAGTTTCACATTGTTCTTGTGGTTTATGCAATTCTGCTTGTGTCTCAGTATCACTCACATTAAGTTCATCATCATGTGGGATGCACTTTGTACTCAGGTAAAATCTTAGCATTCCCATTTTAAGTACTGTGTAGAGTTCTCCCACAGTAATGTCATCTTCAAGCTCTGATTCTTGAAAATCAAAAACATCATGATTAAAGTTCTCCCACAGACCTTTTTTGGACACTCCTCTTGGGAAGAACAATTCCTTTGCTTGACTTAAAATATCAGATTTCTTTGCATTTTTAGAGACATCAGTGGTTCTAGTTCCTCCACCTGAGCGCTTCCTTACTTGTTTACCCAGTCCCCTGGTGAAACCATCCTATCTCAATTTTTCTTGTTGTTTTCTCAGCCATCTTGTTGTTCTTCAAGTGCCGTCTGCGTTTTGGTTCGAAATTCTCAGAAGAATCTTCATCAGCTTCTGTTCTGTTGTTTATTCCCATCTTCTGTCTTAGCTTTTCAAGCAGAGTCTGTCTTGTAGCATGTGATTCACTTTTGTTGCCATTTTCCTTACAGAAGCGCCTTGCAGCAATCCTATCACCATAGATGGGAATGTACCTTGACAAGCTGTCATCATCAAGCTCTTGGATAGTAGTATCATCTATCTGTTAAAAGATATTAAAAATAAGATTTAGTAGATCCACAAAAAGGAAATGTCTCATAGACAACATTAATAACTTAACATTATGAGTAAATTTAAATAAAAGTTTAAAAAATAATAATCAAAATAAAAAAACATACATAAAAAGATAAATTAAGGGGTGGGGGAGTAATACGAATAATAAAATCCGAATTAAATATTATTAAAAATAAACGACATTTATTTTATCAAGGAATTTATTCATTCATTTATTTCCTGTTATTACATTATGTTATGTTTTTACTCTATTTTGCAAATGAAAATAGTTCCAATCAAAGCCACAGCAGAAGGTGTATGAGCAACCCACAACAGTGCCTTGTTACTGAATAAATCCATGGTATTTAAATTTCGTAATCTATTCATAAAAGACAGTCATTTGGCTTGTTCTGTAGTACCATTTGAACGAATCTGTTTAATGAATGACTGAATCAATCAATCAATCATTAAGACAGATTAAGGCTTTTTTTTTCATTGAAAAAAAATTCAAATTTGAATTTACGGATTAATACCATTTAAAAAACCTTTAATCTTTATCACTATTTATTTATTTATAATATATATTTATTTTATTATATAAATGTATTGTAAATCCCATATAGAACTAGTTACACCAGATATGAATGACAATCAAACACATTTATTAAAAGTAGCCTACACATTGTGTGCAACGAACATATTGTAGTTTTTTTTTAAATCCTATTTTCAGTTAATGTTCACGGAGGACTGCAGGCCTGCAGAGTTTTGTTCCAACCCTGCTCCAATACACATACCATGTAGTTTTCAAATAAGCCTGGAGGACGTGATTAGATGGATCATGCGCGTTTAATCAGGGTTTAATCTAAACTCTGCAGGGCTGTGGCTCCCCAGGAACTTAGTTTTACACCCCTGGCCCAAAACTTTTTATAGTTTGCATTAGCACAATTCAGTAACTTACCTTGTCCAGCTGCATTTTTTGAATATCTTCCTCTGAAACCCCACGATTTTGAAGGAAACTCCAAAATTCCATGTTGACGTTATTACAGTTGACTGTGATAACTGTTGACTTTAACAGGTTGCCGTAATAGGCTGCCGTGTTGGCAACCCCAATCAGCTCAGTTCTAAATGGCTGAAATAGGCTGACGTTGTTACGTCACGTACAAAATACCGTGTTTTAAGGAGAAAAAGATGTTGTTTTAACGAGAAAAGATGTAGTTTTTACGAGAAAAGATGTCGTTTTAACGAGAAAACATCTCGTTATTACAACATAATTGAGTGGAAAAAATAATATGTGTGTGGTATCAATGCGTCACCGTAATATGTATATATATATATATATATTTTTTTAAGTTGTAGATAGAAGAATTTATTGCAGCATGTTACTTATAGAAAAGGCCTTTTCAGGGATTCTGTGTCAAATTTTCCAAGTTTAATTAGTTTCATTTTAACTATTTGTGAAAATTACCAGCAATTTACCGGCAAAAATTGTAAGTAAAGTAAAAGTAAATCCTACACCAAAGAATCAACCCAGCAGGCACTGGACGTCTATGTAACGTCAGGTTGACGTTGGACATGACGTCAGACAGATGTTGCATTTTGGTTGAAAATGAAAATTGGGTTGACGTCAATATTTGACGTTGACTTAACATTGGATTTTGGTTACACAACCTACAACAACTAAATATCAACGTCAGCTGACATCGATATTGGGCATCAATTTAACATTGACATTAGACGTTGAATTTACATAGAATTTTGGTCACCCGATGTCGCAACTGAAATTTAACCAAATATCAACGTCTTATGACGTTGTGTGCCTGCTGGGAACTGTTAATTTAAAGGGGAAAAAATTGTATGAATATTAAATCTTGCAAGCTTATTTTAAACATTTACTTTATTACTTTAAATATTTAGACAAAAGTCAACCCATTTTAATGTTTAACGATTAACATTAAAACTGGGTTCATTAAAATAACTCCAACAGCCATAGTGTGTTTTAGGTAAGGATGATCTTTATTTCTTGTGTTAGTCTCTCTGGTTGTCAGTGATTTAGCTTCTCCTATATATATATGTGTGTGTGTGTGTGTGTGTGTGTGTGTGTGCGCGTGTGCATATGTGCATGTGTGTGTGTGAGTGAACCAGTCTCAAGGTCAGGCAGGAAATGTCTGTACAGATGTTGCCTTCATGCAGATGGTTATGAGAGTATCCCAGCTCAGAAAGGAAACGGGTGCGCTTTAGTTTATTGAAGTGTTGAGTTCTCTATACACTTGTATGAAATACAACACTGAAGTTGAGTTGATGACAGCAGACAAACTGTGTTGCATGATCAGATGTTGATGGTGAAATGACCGCCGTTCACAAATGTGACCCTGGACCACAAAACCAGTCATAAGGGTCAATTATTTGAAATTAAGATTTATAAAAAAAATGAAAGCTGAATAAATAAGCTTTCCATTGATGTATGGTTTGTTAGGACAATATCTGGCTCAGTTACAACTATTTGACAATCTGGAATCTGAGTGTGCAAAAAAATCAAAATACTGAGAAAATCGCCTTTAAAATTGTCCAAATGAAGTTCTTTGCAATGCATATTACCAATCAAAAATTACGTTTTGATATATTTACAGTAGGAA